GGCCCCCTCTCCCTGGTGAGCTCTCTTTTTCAGAAGACAGCTCGCAGTTGCCTGCTCTGTTCCATGTGGTCCTTACGTGAGCCCTGAGTGTCACTGCGTGAGCCCTGAGAGTCACAGCGCAACGCTCTTCTGGGGAAAGCCTCACGGAGACGCCAGTGGAGATGTGGCGCCACTGGCGGCCGGGAGAGAAGCAGATGTCCCCGCCAGCTGACCCACGGTGTTCCTCCTCACCACCGGCAGGGCCCTGTAATCTCCCAGCCGGGGACCTTGCTCTGCCTGACACCTTCCACACCCAGCCCCCCAGCCCCCGGGGCCTCCGGTCCTCTCTCCGGTGCCCCTCCACCCTTCCCTCCCGCCAGCCAGCAGAGCCCTCAGGACAGATGACCCTGTCTGGCACAGCCCAGTGTCTCCAGAGACAATAGTCAAACTATGTAAGGCTCTAGGTGGATGCTGAATGAATGAATGAGCCAGGGAAGGAATGACCGAGTGAATGGAGAAACAGATGAACCTGTAAGAGAATGGAGGCAAGTGAGGAAATGAGGGAATGGGGGAAGCAATTCGTGCAGGTGTGCCTTCACCGCCGCCTGCTCCCTGTGCCAGAACCGCAGAGGCCGAGCCTGGTGCTGCTGCCCCTACATCCAGAGGACGCCCCAGGCTCGGCTCAAAGACGCTCTCCCCGGTACAATGAAATGAGTCTGCGGCGTGTGTCTTAGCGTCCCAGGCTTGGCTCAAAGACGCTCTCCCCGGTACAATGAAACGAGTCTGCGGCGTGCGTCTTAAGGAAGCATTATTCTACTTTCAGATTTTAACAGTGCAAATGTCTCATTGCAGCTCATTTTGTGGCTTACTGAGCTGTGTTATATCATGAACATTCTCCAAGTGCAAACTGAGCATGTCTCCAGGACACCATTACAGCTCCATCCCACCTGAAACCAAGCGGAAAATCCAGCTGTGGCGGTGCGGGGTCGCGGCCCTGCCTGCGGGGACAGGGGCTCCAGCCAGGAGGGCCATGCTGCTCCCACGCAGGCGCTCAGTCCTGAATTGGGCAGCTCAAATGGAAGGGATGTCTCCAGGCTAAAGAGGACGCTCCAGAGGCCGCTCTCCCTTGCCTGCTTCAGGCTCCTCTTGTCACGCAGATTCTGGCTCATGGCCTGTGAGTCACAAACACACTCTCAGGATGTCCAGAGCTAAGTGTACTCTCTGGAGATGCCAGTCAAGAGACCCGTGACAGATCACCAACGCTGCGCCCAGGGGACCTGGGACAGCTCAGCTCATGCCTGTGTTAACACCAGATCTGACTACCATGAATAATTCATCAGACAACAGGGAGATTCAGCAGGGAGTGTTTTCTGGGAGGGACATTTTCACGCAAATGTGGTGCATAACAGGTGTTTACATTGCAAATACTTGTATATGATTGGGAAATTAAAATGAATGAGTTGATAAACAAACGAGAAACTATAGAATGAGAACCAGACTGGATAACGCTCCCAGCCTGGTGGTGGATGCATTTCACAAGGTGTCTCTGAGGACTCCAGGGGGAGGGGTGCGAACAGCACCCCAACAGACCGGGAAGTTCAGCATGGCCTGGCCACGTTCTCAGATGAAGGAATTATGACGCAGAGAGACCACGAAGCTTGCCTGGAGTTCCCCCAAGGCTTGGGGTCGGGGCTGGCTCTCGGATCCCTGGCTTCGTTTTCCAGGAGCCTCTGCTCAGAACAGGCCAGCTCTGGGCTCTGACCACAGGATAGCGGCGTCATCCCCCGGCCAGCGTCCCGGAGCCCCTGCGGTCCCCTGGTTCCATCCTCAGCCCTAGAGCAGGGCCAGGCCACGAGCCAGGAGCCCATCCAGAGCCAGGTGGGTGCTCTGGTTAGGAAGGAAGGGAGGGAGGGGGAAGGAGGGAGGGGGAGGTGAAAGGGAAGGGAGGCCTGAGGTCCACCCAGGTCACAACGCTTTCAGCAGAAATGGACCTTCAGGCAATACCTACCCTCATGTGTTGGCAAACCCAAGGTTTATGGGTTCGAGACGCGCATGCAATGCGCCTTAGGAGCTCGATGAGCAGCAAGCCTGTGGGGCTCAGGAGCCCGGCCCCAGCCTCTCTCCCACGCTGATGGGAAGCCTCACACCCGGCAACCTCCCAGTCAGAACCAGAACCCGGAGCCGCTGCTCCCGGGGATTTCTGGTGACGGTAGAAATCCAGTTTTTCATCTTCTGTTTCTGCTTTGTGTCAGTACTGGGGTCTGAACTCGGGACCGGGATTGGCTATTTCTACTTGAGCCTGGCTCTCTACCACTTGGGCCACACCTGAGCTTCCAGGCTTTGCTGGCTAATTAAGGATAAGAATCTCTTGGTTTTTGTCTGCCCAGTTTGCTCGGAACCACAATTTTCAGATCTCAGCCTCCAGAACAGGGTTACAGGGGCAAGCCACCCGCTCTATTTTAAGGGTAGATTTAAAAGATATCTGCAATCAGGGAAATGTAAAGACGGGGTGCCAGCTCTTGGCGGGTGCCAGCATGCAATGGTGCCAGCCCGGGACTCTGGCTCAGCCACACAGCTAAACCTGTCAGGATACACGGCTGGCAATTTCCACCCTCAGATCAGCACCTGGATGACACTCTCCCAGGACGCCCACCTGCTCACTCACTGCCCGGCCCCAGGCCCACCTCCACGCAAAATGATGCCCCCTGCGGCCTCCACACACAGACAGCCCGAGAGGCCGTCACTGAATGGACGTGTGACTCGCTGGCCTGGCCGTCAACCGGGAAACAACGCTGCGAAGCTGCCCTCCGGCCACCAGCGGTCCTCTTCCGCCATTGGAGTGTGTGCTGAAGGTCACTGTTTTGGAAGATGGCCTTCCTGGCCGCATTAATGGCAAATGTGACGGCCCATTTGCCTTCTCTCATTTTAAAAGCACTTGGCAACCAGTCACGGATGGCCACCGTCTGCAGGAAAACAGCTGTGGCCAGAAAAAAAAGGGAAACCTGCGCAAGGGTCACCTTAAGCTTAGCCACCGCGCATCAGCACGGGCCACGGGGGGATGCGATCTCCCGCGAGCATGCCCCGAGGCAGCAGCATTGCGTCTGAAGCAGAGGTGGGGGTCTCAGTGCCCTCACTACTCATTTTGAGGGTGACCAGGGCCGGGTCAGGCTGCCCAGAGCACAGCGCTGGGCACTGGACCCCAGAAAGGGGCATATCGGGCCATTTCCACCAGTGAGCGGGAAAGATGGTCACGGATATCAAACGCAAGTGCTGCACAGAGATATGCAGCAATAACAGAGAACGCAGTCTCAGTAGTGATGCGTCTACAGACGGAGGCCAGGGACATCTGAGGAGCTGACAGTCACGGACCAAGCACAGACTGGATGCAGGAGATGGGCCCAGCCCTTTAGGAAGAGGAAACCACACCAGAAACCTAGGCACCCGCCCCTCCCCACGCTGGCTAGAAGAAAAACAGCGACCAATGCGTGACTTGTTCTCAAAGTGCAAAGAACCTCAGGAAGCCTACGGAAACAAGCATCTCAGAATTCCACTCTTCCTTTCTGCACAAAACTTCCACAAGTCTCCGTGTTCTAAGGCAGTTTATTTCTTGTCATCACTACGCAGTCCAGTTTAGTCCCAGTCCCCTGAATATCTTCGCTGGCTGGGAAAAAGCCTTTGCATGCCGTAACTGTCTGTTCCGCAGCCAGCCCTGCGTATGATCAGAGCTGGGAGGAGGCGGGCGCAGCTACAGACACGCGGCCACCGCAAGGGAGGAGGAGGAGAGCCTCCGGCCTGCCAGGCTGCAGCCGGGCCTGGCTGTATTATGCACCCCCGCTGCATAATACACGACCTAGAGTCCATGCTGCCTTCAGGCAGACCCTAAGGAGCGATCTGATGGACCCAACACCTCAGCCAGCTCCGGGCCGCGCACACCTGAGCCTGTCCGTGCAACGCTCCCTCCAGGGGCCATCTGTGAAGACCCAAGAAAACGATGGAGATAAAGAGAGACGTGGTCCAGAGTGGCCAGCAAAGATTTCGCTTCCCATGCTTCCCAGGGTAGCCCGCGGGTCTCTCAGCCTTCCCTTCTCATACAGACGAAACCTGAGGGAGAAAATGGTGACTCTCCAATCAGTAAAAGTCCCGAATTTGAGAGTGAAAAGTCACAAGCTGAGTCACTAATCTAGGTACTCTATCCAAACGGAGGAGGAGGGAGGAGAGAGGCCAGGTCTGCACATCTCCCGTGTGACTACCCCCCCGCCCGCACATGGTCGCATGCACACGCATGCACACGTGTGCACGCACGCACACACACTCTCAAAGCCTCATAACCACTTGTCAGGATCATCAAAGTACAAAGTTTCCTGCGCCCAGAGCAAGGAGCAGGGTTCTCCAATCTGTAGCAGTGTCAGGACACGTTCCTCCAACCCACGATGCTCACATTCAGTGGTTCTAAGCAAACTTAGGTCTGTCTAAAATGAAACACCACTATGCAATAAAAATGTGATCAGCTTTGCCCGTGCCGTGTGTGCCAAACAGATATACAGAAAGCATCTCTGGAAGCATGCAGCGCTCATTGTAAATGTTTCCCCTTCACTGAGTCCTTACATAAGACACCCCAGAACCTCGACCGTGTCCCTCACTCATTATGCTCTTTTCTTTTTTGAACACTCAGTTCTATTTCCAGGGAGAAGCAGGATGATAACGTTGAGGTTGGTACCACATTATACACAGAACTCGCGTGTTGGGAATAGAAGTTGCGTTGGCAGAAACACATTCTCAGCTCTGGCTGGCAAGGGCTGCCGTCGCGTTTGCAGACGCGGGCATTCCTGACCCAGCTGCTAAGCCCACACCGGCCCGCTCGGTGCAGGCTACCAAAAGAACGTGTCCACCACCGCCCCCTACACCCTGGCAAGCAGCTTCACTCTGGGCCAGCACAGCAGAGATGGAGGGCTGGCCCAGCTCCTGCAGCCGAGCAGGCCACCTCCGCCGGCCGGCCACGGGGAGACCAGGAGACGGCTTACCTGAGGGTGAAGCGGTCCTCCGTGCAGTTTCTGGAGATGGAGACGGGGAAGGTCAGCACAGCTCCCGGCCTCGCGGCCCCAGGGGTGTAGCGGATGGCCACGTTGCTGTCCAGCCACAGCTCACTCTGGGCCGGGCGGCCGGGGCTCTGGTAAAGGAAGATGCTGCCGATCCTGTGCAGGGGAGGGGCCGACTCGTCCACATCGCTGTGGCCCATGCGGAGCCCGCCGCCCGTCCTGGGGGCGGCCCCGGTGCAGTCCCCGCGCCCCTCCCCGGGCTGCACCATGTAGTAGAGCTCCACGCGGGCCCC